GCGCACTCTTTTCACCAATACTCGGAGACGAAGCAACTCAACAACGGTCACTGAGGCCATCAAGGGCATTTACTCCGCCATTCGTCTCAACGACGTATGTGCTACCCTCCCGGTTTGATTTACTGCGCTAACTATGCACCAGTCGTACAATACCGGCGGTATGGGGCTCGGCGTCAATGTCGATGTTGCCAACCAAACCTTCTGGGTCGGTCAGAAGTTTGAGCAGCTGGCGCGCAACTTCTTGAGCTGCATGGACCGTAAATGGGACAATCGTGAGTGCTGCCCCAAATCCACTTCTTCTCGCGGACCCTTTCCCTTTTCGTCATATCTTGTCACCGGCTAAATCTTTATGAAGTGGACTATGAGGGCTTACGAAAGGCTCTCCTGCCTGTAAAGGTTGGAGGAAAAGGTGGCGCGGATGCTTGGGGTATGTCGGAAGCCTTCAAGGCTCTCCGCCGCCTCCAGAACATCCGCTTCGAAGTGAAGCATCGCGGCGACTCCAAGGCTTCCAAGGAGCATAAGGTCAAGGGCTTCGCCTTTGACGTGAAGTATGGCGAGCTGGGCGCCAACGCGAAGGCGGTCACGTTCAACAAGAAGATGCCCGATGGCTCCACCAAGACATACAGCATTGCCGACTACTATTTACAGCACTACAAGACCAGGATCCAGCACTGGTATTTGCCGTTGATTGAGTCTACCAATGCCGGACTCTTTCCCATGGAAGTCTGCGAGGTTCACCGGTTCAACCCGTACCCCTTCAAGCTGGACCCCAACCAGGTATGCGCCCCATATCGTCGCCGTGCCTCGATGTAATGTGGCTGACAAGAGCTCCAGACCTCGGAGATGATCAAGTTTGCCGTGCAGCGTCCCCCGCAGCGCAAGGCCGAGGTCTTGAAGATGGTGCAGAATCTCGAATGGGGCCAAGACCGCTACCTGGCCCATTTCGGCATCAAGATCAACCCGACCATGCCGATGATCCCAGCAAAGGTCCTCCCCAACCCTGTCATCCAGTATGCTGGAAGACCCGTCGATCCCAAGATGACGGGCCGCTGGGATCTCCGCGGCGTGAAGTTCGTCCTCCCCAACAAGGTGCCGCTTACCTCGTGGGCCTTCGTCATTGTCGACAACTGCATCGACAAGACGACTGCGGAGAACTTTGCCAAGGTTTTCAAGACCACGTACGCAGGTCACGGCGGCAAGATTGTGAATGACCCAAAGATCTATGCGCCTCCGCGGGGTGTACCGGTGGACCAGATCGTCCGGGGGTGCTACCAAAGGTGCGGGCAAGAGAACAAGTTCACGCCCCAGATCATTTTCTACATTCTCAGGGACAAGACGGCATTTGTCTATGACAGGTTCAAGCAGGCCAACGACTGCGGCGTTGCATGCTTGTCGCAGATGCTGCAGGCCCAACACGTTCGGAAGGCTCAGGGTCAATACTGCTCGAACGTCTGCATGAAGGTCAACTCCAAGCTGGGTGGGCAGACCTCGAAGATTGCCAGCAGAGCAAGGCGCATTTTTGAGCACATTCGACCATGATGATTGGCGTCGATGTCTCCCACGGCAGCACTGCCG